TCCATGTTTTGGAGGGCTCTTAATACCGAAAAATCGAATGACGGCAAGACGTCTATCTGTCCTGTAAAGGAGATTTAAGGGAAAGGTACAGATCTCATTTTCGTTGAAAACTTCTTTTTCGAAACTGGCAAAATTGCAATTTTTTTCTGCGTCTTCCTACAACTACTGTTATGAAGATAGATATTTTTTCCTTAATAAATGCTGTTCCTTAAAGATGGGTTTTGAAATAAGGTCCTGTACAAATTTTCGAAAATTTGAGTACTTTTAGCGTAATTTTGTGTGAAAATACGAGCGAGAAAGTATGTGAAATTTTAGCACCAGTAGTTTTAATAGTGGCCTGACTTTAGATTTTTTTGATAACTTATAGGAAGATGTCTGTCATCAGAGAGTAGTTACAAATGTGCTCGAGTAGTTCTATATGTAGGTGTGGAAGATAACTTTTTTCATTTTGGTTTATGATTTTAATGTTTCTAAATTGTTTCTTGAGACCTTGTTTCATTGATAAATATGGAATTTCCATTCGGTTTTGTTCACATATTCCACTGCATATTAATGCTACTAAAAGAGAAGAGACTATTAATGAAATAACTTTTCCTCAATTTCGGGGAAATATTAACTGAATGCTTTTGCTACCTATTGATTTATAGATCATCGTTTTGTTGTGAATTTCAATTCTTTTTTGTTTTTGTAATATGTTTAAAAGTAGTTTTCACTGTCCATTATTGTTCTTATTGTTCTTTGTGCTTAGGCTCTGTTTATCATTCGTTAGTGGATTGACTGGTTTACACACTTTTAACATTACTTTCTTCGACACTGTTGTTTATTGAGTAGTAAGCAATGAAATCAAAACTACATTTGTCGTGATGGTTTATTTCATGCAAAATACGTTTTCTTTCACAAATTTTAATTACATTGATTATGCATAATTTTTTTCTTACTATTTAAACGTTTTCATGAAAAACAGTATTACAATAACTTCGGAATATGTTTATGAACAATTTAATTGACATTGGTATTTGTTTTCTGGTTCACACCAACACAATTTTGTCAACTTACGGGGGAGTTTAATTTTTCTGTATTTTTCTATATCTTGGGAGAAGATTCGTGTGTGTTCGTGTCCATTTCAACTGTGAGATTTGGGACTGTTTGGACACTAAAGAAAGTATTGAAAGAATAAGAGAGCATTTGTACTACGTAATAATAATAAGTAAACCATTCTAATATGTTATGAACAGCAAGTAACAGCAGAATGACAATATACAGAGTGACAACTCAGGAGAAATGCCAGCTATCATCTGTCGCCGAACAAAGGACATTATTTTGACATTTTCTCATTTCTTCTGTTTTTTAATAGTAGAACCAAAATATTACTTTAAGAATATTAAAGAATCGGCTTGAATGGCAATATTTTTTGAAAAATTTGGAACCCTTTTTAAGAAAACGGTTTAAGCTATACCGTGAATGCGAGATTTGAAGCTCTTTTTCATAGAAAAGTGTTAAGCTATCGAAAAACTTCATTAAAGTAATTTGAAGCACTATAAGTCACAAATGCAATAGTGTTTACAAATTGTTGGAAATGTGCATATTAATAGCGTGAGAGATATTTCAAAAAACTACATTTATGTAATTTTTGACAAAAGGAAGAATACAGCAAAATTAACTTTATGTAACTTTTCCCAGGACAATTAGCACGTAACCATGAAAACTTTGGAAGAAAAAATTGGAGCCATTTTTGAGAAAATAGTGATTGAGCGTTTCTAAAAATGCGGAATTTTGAGCCAATTTTCACAGAAAACTGTTGAGTTTTTGAGAAACAATATACGACATTATTTAAAGCACATGTACTCATAAATACAATAATGTGAACAAATTGCCGCTAATATAAATATTAACAACTTTAGAAACAAGAAAAAATAATTTTTGTAATTTTTGAAAACACAAAAGAATAGAGCAATGTGGCGTTCATGTCATCTTACAGTGTGAATTTTGCACTATAAGTTTAAAGCAAAACTTTCAAGACATTTTTGAGAAAAGCTTGTTTTTGTAATTTTTAAAATTGCAAAATTTGGAGTTAAACGTGAAAATCGGACCAATGGCATCTTTCTAAGTATGTTTACTCTATTTTTACAAGTAATATAAAGAAAAAATTTGGAACTGTTTTTGTAAAAATTTTGAAAATGCCCGGGAGCTTCATGTAAAGTACCTCCAAATTTTCAAGAAAGTTTTTCAAAATCTCAGTGTCTCGAGTCGAGTGAGATCGATCGGGGGATGTCTATTTTAGTTTAGGCACTAGTGGTGTTCACAAACGGCGTGACGGATAGACGGATGGACGGACGTTAAAAAGAAAACAGTTTTTCGGTGTCAGGAGACCCCAAAACGTGTATTTTCATTGAAATATCAAAATAGATTTTCCTCAGCATAACTTTCCGTATACTATGTATATGGGAAAGTAAAAATAAACACCAGTGTCATCATCACTATATTAGCAAATTCCTTTGTCGTTTTGGCATCAGAGGAATAGATTCTCATATAAAGTGTTGTGGTAATTTTTCCATTTCACCCAGCCTGGACATCACCATAAATTTATTGGCATTTCGAAGATCCGGTGCACTGTTGTCGACTCGGGCAGTCATTAGCGTTATTAGTGAATAGCGAGTGCATTGCAATTCTGATGGCGGTCTCGTGGGACGGCCATCAGACGGTTTAAATTCGGACGCGATGCAAGAACGCGCACGATGTACAACTGTTGTAAGTTGCACCTCAATTCCATCATTTCACAAATTTGCAATTTTCGCCTGTATCCAAAAAAAAGTAGATTTTACTTTCTTGTGTACTACGTATATAGGACAGAAAAATGATTTTAATTCTGTAGCAGAAAACGGCGATTTTTGACGGAAAACTAGTTTGTGGGACACTAATGCCACAAAAGTGGAATCTATTTGAACTTGTTACTTCCTCGCCCTTGCTTCGTAAGAAGAGAAAGTATTGTAATCGTGCTCCGAAAAACGGAGATTTTTGGACAGAAAAACTCTTATTGCCGGGCCCTAATGACGAAAAAGTGGATAAATTTTGTTCTTATATATAGTAGATTACTTAGTCTAACACGTTTTGTAACCAGAATCTATGTTTTACGGATCTTTGATACCCAAACATCAATTGACGGCAATACGTCTGTCCGTGGTCAACGCTTCCACCTAAACCGATTCGTCGATTTTATCCAAAATTGATATTTCTCGATCGATTTAAATGAACTCACTAACTATTTACTCCATTACTCAGTTATCGCACTTCCCCCTACGCGTAGTGCTTCGATTCGCCTTAATTACAACCTTCTACACGATAGAGAACAAGATCGTGAAACCGCTGTGCAATAACTAAGTTTTTTCAGATAAATTACGAAAGTAACAATTTACACATCTGAAAGCTGACTGTGCTTTATTTACATTCGAAATGACTCACCTATACAATTATTGCTTTTAATTCTTTTCCTATTTAACCCGGAAACAATTTTCATTATTTTATGAGATAACAATAGAAGATCTTGGAATAGTTCTTAGTAACTTTGTTTTTCTTGTAATTCGCTTTTATCTTCTGCCGTTTTACGAAAGTTGTACTAAACAATTAATAAAAGAAACAAATTATTTTTCGGCCGTAATCAGGCAAACGGATTACTATGGATCAATTTTTTTTGTCTGTAGGTATTATTGCATTGTGCGTTTGTCACGACCGCTTTTTTGGAGTCTTGGCGAGAAAGGGACAGTCGGATATGGGGCCGACCTTTCACCGGAGTATTGTCTGACACAGATGTCTGATAAGAGGATTCTGAGAACAACACATTTCTATGTGCAGACATTGTTTCGATGGGCTAGTGTGTTTCTAGGAGTCGGAAAAACGTGTTAGGTATGTTTTTGAACTCTTGTGCGATCCAATCGTGTGAGACCTATCTCCTATACAATACGCAAACACAAGACCCATCCATTTCTCACAAATAAGCACCGCAACGAAGATAAATCATTTTTCGGTTCCGAAAAATTATTCATTTTTATGTATCTAAAAAGAATAAATCAATAGCATTGCTATCTATAATGATGCAAATAACACCATATCAAGAAATGGAAAGCTGGCAATAATTATGTATTGTAACAAATCTAAATATGTAGTAGATGATCTGGACCAACTCGTAGGTACCTACTCAGGAAAACAAACAATTGTTAGCTGTTGAGATTGAAGAGAATTTGGATCGTTCACAAATGTTTGAAAACCAAGTTCAATAGGATTGCATAATAAATCTTACCTGTCAATCACATATGTTATTGGGAACACCTTTTACATATCATAATATCGAAGAGTATTCTAAAAATATTTTATTTGTGCCATTGAGAACAAAGTAAAAAGTCATGAGAAAGATTTTGTGTCTAATAAACACAGCCTAGTATTACTGTGTAATATGTAAAAAATGTTTAAAAAAATCAAATGAAAAGAATTTAATATTATTTTCATTAAATTAAACAATTAAATTAGTGTTTTACATTTCATTATCCATGCTCATAAAGTATTTATACATTTTTTGAGTCCATTGTAGCACTTCTGGGTCCTCTGTACCCTGCTCTCCCAGCTGGGTCATCAAAATAGATTGCCCAGAAATGGACTGGAGGAATAGTTTTGAGGGACATTATCAAAGAACAAAATAGAATTAAAACATATCCTCAGTCACTTTCTAACGAAAGACAAGTACAGTTTAATTTTAACAGATCAGAAAAACAACAAAATTGTGATTTTACTGTGAATGCTATGTACATTGAAAAAATCATGGTATGTTTACAGGTTTTTTAGTAAACTTATATCAAAAAACAAATTTGTATTACTATATGTCACCTGATGTTGTTGTTGTTGTTTTTGTTATTGTTGTTGTTGTTATTATTATTATTATTATTATTATTATTATTATTATTATTATTATTATTATTAATATTTATCTTTAACTGTATATCTGTTTAGCTTACAGATTTGATGACAGTAAAGGAGATCATAAACAGTTCTTTGAATTAATTGATCAACTCGCCCTTGCGTTTAGTAGCAGGTAAGCTTATTAAATTAATACTGATTGTAATAATGATGTACAAATCTTTAATAATTAAAGTATTGAAATTTTCTCAGAGTATCTGAATATCTAATGGGTGATTTGGATACCAATGTCTTGCTAACGAATATGGTTCCCAATAAAACTAAGGTATGTAATGTAATGATGTAATAATAATAATAATAATAATAATAATAATAATAATAATAATAATAATAATAATAATAATTATTATAATTATAATAATTATAATAATAATAATATGCCTGTTATTTTATTTTCACATTATTTTGTAATAAGATTTTTAACAATTTTAGACATGTGAAAACATTCATGATGATGCATTAGAAAGTGGGGAAAATGATTCAAGTTATGAAAAAAAGGAAGATATACCAGAACAACTCAATGAAGCACTGCTAAATCTTGAACAAGGAGTTGAATTTGCACTTAACAGAGCTAAAGTGTGGGCTAAGTATGCAAAGGACATCCTCATGTACATTGAGAAAAGATGTCATCTTGAAATGGAATACACAAGAAATCTAAACAAATTGGCTCAGACAGTAAGACCTTTAATTAATGAAGAGGTAAATGCATGATTTCTTATTTTTTGAACTAATTTTGCACAAAATATTAATTATTAATAAAAAAACTTATTGAGAATGAGTAGTATGAATCAATCAGATATAACAATGGTAATTTCTTGCATTAAACAATATTTTCTAAATTAGCGACTCTCTAAGTACCAAAATACAGGTCAATATCAATTGTCAATATAGGCCTAACATGTATTTTGAAGATATAAACTCAGGCATAAATGAGATTCTCTTGATGCAATTACCACTTGACAGCTTGGAACAGAAACAAAAAGATATTTTTGGGCTTGCATTGTTTGCTTCAATTTAGAGGATTTGACTTGTCTTTCATTCCTTACAGATTTGAGATGCAAATCAAAATAACTAATCTTTCCACTCAAACTTCTTTTTGAAATTTTCAGACAAATTTGCCATTCCAATCAATATATTGCACTGCTCTGGATTATGATACAGAAAACAGTAATTCAAGTCAAGCTACTTGTAGTCTGTTGCTTGGAAATAAATTTCTTGAGGTATGATGAAATGTTACAGTGATGAAGACACATAAGATATAAATAAACAATTATTTCATCTTTTTGATAATTGGAGAAAGGACAATAACTCAGTGTTTGTCTTCAGCCACTAAGTGACCGTCGCACAGAACATGAAAAAGAACGTCGTCAGTTAAAGGAACAATGGTTTCGAGAAGTTGGTCGCATGCATGATATTGTATTATCAATGAGGCGAGCCCGAGGCTTTTATATACAATGTCAACGTGAAGCTGATCATCGACAAATGGATGAAGATGCTTTAATAAAGGTCAGATTTAATTTTTTATTCACTTGATTACTAAAGAAAAGAAAGTCACTTAAACATAAAATAAATCACTAAACACAAATTTATTTTCATTTGTTAAGGCTTCTGAAGCAGAAAATTCTTATAAAGCAAGTGTTGCAGAAGCTAATGAAGGTCACAAACGATTATATGCAGTAAAGAATGAAATTTTGCAAAAGATACGTTTACTGTTGGCAGACAGTGATAATATTTTACAATCTGTCACAGTGGCTTACTTTCAATTGCAGCATACTCTCAGCACTCCGGCATCAGTCCAGGTACTAAACAAATTATTACTTTGTGATCATTTAGTTCACAATAATAGCAGTGTGACAGTTATAAATCTGTATTGTTAATGAACTTTGAGGCTATTTAATCACAGGTTTAATTATAATATTATTAACAGGTAGTGACAATTTTGATAACGGATTTTGTTTAATTCAACAACATATATAATAATGCTTATTGATATATCTGTGTGTGTGTGCGTGCGTGTGTGTGTGTTTTATTGTTAAAACATACATCTGTAATATTTAAACGTGCAAATTACATAATTTAAATTAAACTTAAATTTCTGGCATTGAAGAATGTCACCAACGACGGATCAACTCCTCTCCTCACATTACAACGCCACTCACTAGAGCTTCACAAACTCTGTGTGATACCACTTATTTCCAAATATTTCCTGATTTTATTTATCACATTGCAAAAGTACAATTGCAACTTGAGAAATGTTTCAAAGAAAGTGATATTGTTGATTCCTAGTCGTATTACTTCATTATATCTGCATTTATAAGTCCTTTCTTTCATATATGATATTTTTCAGTTCCAAACACTCTGTGAAAGTAGTCGCTTGTATGAACCAGGATCACAGTACCTAGAAGCAGTTAAACGCCTGCCTCCTCCTGCTGCTGTTACGTTACAGACGCCATTCACATTCGAAAGATATTACGAAGGTGGAAAGCGACTTACTGACCAAGAAAGGAAATCAACAGATTCCATTGAAGGTGATGATTTATTTCATGGTATGTAACATGAATGTTTTATGATTTCTCTTATACAATTTCCATGCGAACTCTTCCGTTGCTTATGACTATCACAGTTTTGATTTCCTTGAACTACTTTCCGTTTCTTAAGGATTGAAAGAACAGGCTCTTTGCAGTGACACTGACAGCATTACAAGTGCAGCCAGTAGCCATGATGCAGATACATCTCCCAGTACTAGTTGCCGGAGTCCTTCGCATGAACTTATTTCTGAGATGGATCCCAGCAGTGAAAATGGTAATTCTCTCTAACCCTAAGCTCCGTAGTTGGTTCTATAAAATTTTTCAGATTTAAATTCGGAGTCTTTGATTTTCTGAATTCATTGATGACATTGCGCTATTATAAAAATTTAAAAAAATTATATTGAAAAGAAATTGGTTTAAAAGGAGACTATAATATTTTTGTCACTTTGTGGCTCCATATAAGAAACGAATGACGGAAGGGTTCAAACAGCCTTCAAAGACGTTCATTTCACTTTCACATTTCGATCATCAGCGTATTCTCCTCAGAAGAATGAATCAAAAATTAATATACCATTTTGCCTAGAAAAGTTTCATCTATTTATATTTCCTATCAACTATCATTCGGGTTAGAGGTCATTAGGTCTAAGAATATTAGGCCTAATAGCAGAAAGTCGAATGAGAGGAGGTCCACGAAAACATGTTTAATACAAATTTTGTCTCATTATTATAAATGTCTATTACAATTCGGACCATTTGTCAAACATTTCTAATAAAATTTGGTCCAACAAACGCAAATGTCTAATTCAGTTTGGTCTAAGAGAAATACATAACGTAATTTTGGCCATGTTATCATTACGACAGTGTATTATTACGTCTAATGTGAAACTACTTTATGGAGAGGCCTAATTCACGGCGCCCAATTCACAAAATCCATAACGTATAAAATAAGAAAAGGTGTTGATAATTGTCAGTCTTCACTTTTGAATGTTATTGATGTGAAACGTACTGGTAGAGCCTGGAATTTTAATCTGTATCTCAAAGGCCGTAGGTAAACAATATGTTTGTGATACCAGTTGCATTACTAGTTCCTCTCTGTGAGCACCTTCAATGTTTTATTCCTACTAATGTCTTTAATTCGAAAATGGTAAGTGTATTCGTTGTCTATACATATTATTTTACCTTTGCCCAATGTATTGGTGTAGATACTAATTTTTACTAAAATTTTTAATTCAATACGATGTATTGCTACGGAAAAAGCTCTATTGTTGGAAATTTAAATGACATTTCGACTATGGTTTTCATGCATAATTTGCTCAACAATTATGAAATTAAAAAAATAAAATTGTACCTATTAGACCACCTGTGCATACCTATTAGACCTTCGGTTTATACCTATTAGACTTCATATGTATCTATTAGACCTGTGCAACTTGGACCTTCTAATTTTACACCTTTATTGTAATTTGACCTTTTGCCCCGTAGAATTTCTATTGCAATATACCTACTGCAGAATAGACCTCCTGTTACATTGGACCTATAGTATTAGACCTTCTGTCAGTAGACCTAACGACCTTACCATCATCGAAACTAGGGAATTCGAGTCGAACTCGTTAGCAAATACCTGATTGTTTTTTCATTAATAAAGTTATAGTGAGTCTGGATACAATCCATAAACGTTCTAAAACACTTCAGGTTGAATTTTATTAGCAGGAGTTAATGATATTTATATAGAGAGCCATTCTTCCTGGTCGTGGATATTCCACAGTAACACTCGCCCTGTGACCGATGAACTATCAGTCACGTTACCTAGCAGCAACCTGTCAGATACAATCTACCCTTATTGAAACCTACAGGCAGAAGAGAAAGGAAGGGGATTCTGTAGTACTCTCACTGATCTCAGTTAGAAATAGCAATTGAACGATTTGTTTATAGTAGTGTGACTCATATTACGTCGTCACATTTTTGTTGGTTGGTCGACATTCTATCGCTTTTGATTAATTTTCGTGTTTTCGTGTGCTGTAATTTTAGCTCTTGGAAAACCTGCGGCGTATATACATAAATTAGTGTCCTTTGAACTCTTAAAGTGTCTTTACAAAATGTTGATTGAAATGAAGTTATTCATAGATGACCAGTTAAGTTGACTAAATCTTGGAGAGGAAAATAGAAATGAAAATGTACCAGCCAAGTGCATTCTCCGTAGGAACTTTTAGCCCCGTCATTTTTTACATTAAAAAATGCTCGACAATGCAAAGGTTTTGCACGTGTTCTTACTTTTAATACGTTATTAGTACCTATGCGTATGGAAAGAAACCGATTTTACAGCTTCGAAAAACCTGGACAAGTTGCGCCACACTGAAAGAGAAAAGAGATATATTTGCATTTATTTCAGATTTTCTCAACATCTCTTAAAGTATGCATTCTAAATAATTTATTCTCATCATTTCTGTTTTTAAAGTACGTAAGTAAAGTAAAGCTTATGCCCAAGATGAGGTATGTCCGTCCAGAACATGCCGAGGATAATATATTTCAAAAACGGTAATGTTTTTCAAACGTGAGTTTGGTTTTAGTTATGAATCTTGCCAGATAGCGGGGAAAGTATTCATTCCGCAAGGAAAGCCACTAGTAATGAATTTGTAGTACATTTATTTTGCATTAATTCAATCCCAAATGGACGTCAGTAGGCTCTATAGTTGTGCCAGAAGTACCATAAAATGAATATTTGCTAATGAATTCTGGGAGAAGCCAATATAAACAGTTTTTAACGTAACAAACATTAATTACATACTAAATATATATGTTATAAATAAAATTTGCATTTTTTAATTATTAGGATTATTTACACCATAATAAGCTTCTTCTTTGCTTCTATTCCTCTCTCCAGCGACATGCTAAATTACACCGATACGTTTGTAGTTGTGAATGCTGGATACCTTTTATACAAAGTAGACTAGCTAGGCAATAATTTCACAATAGCCATTGTCTCACGTCGGGTCAGCTAAGTAAAATAATATTTTAGAGAAATGTCTCCATTCTTTGCGAAGGTTACTCTGAGCAGGAAAAATGTGCTGAATTAATGCGACGCTTAGCAGCTCATATCCGCAGTTATATGATTTTTCAGGAATCTACCGTCATCCATTTACCGCCGAAAAACTTTTGGCCAATGAAAACAAGAGACATTTATCTGTCTACTCCGCCATGCATTGCAGCAGCATGATATTGCGGTGAAAGTAGCCGAAGAAAACGCTGAAACAGTTGGAACAGCACTATCCAAAAGCCAAATATGATGTATTTAACCGTGCTACCGTTATTGGAGAAGGCCACCTTCAGGGCCTCCTCAGTGGTTTGAGATAATTGCAACGTACGTCCAGAAGCTCCAGACATGAAGTAGCTGTGTCCATTTCTCAATCTCATCTTTCTCCCACAAAGCCACACAATACCCACAAGACACAGATTATCTTCATGTATTCAGCGGGTGGGACACCACTGTCTATTTTGCATTAGAGGAATACATATACACATATAGAACAAGATTTACTTTGTTGAGAGATTTCTTTTTCGCTATTAGGGCCCCGCAATACATTTTTTCGATACTAGGGACACACAATGCGGGTTTTTCGGTCGAAAAATAGTCTGAGGGGGCTCAGGGTATCAACTGATATAACTGCAGAACCTCTGTCATTGAGGTCTTTGGGTTCGGGTGCCAACAGTTCCAGGCTTTTCGACACTGGCTTGATCGCTAGATCGCGTTGAGCCTCTGTGTACAGGAGAAATCTAGCGGCTGGCTACCCTGACCGTTAGTTTTCCATGGTTTGTCCAATCACCACCAGACTTGCTCGATCAAGAAAAAAATGGGTCGCGTGCTATCTTTACTTCCTCTTTCTTGTCCTATCCTCACCTCTTACACACACTTACACATACTTGAACTATACTACCGTACACGGTGATAGATCAGTTGGGAGCTTAGAGATTGTTCCGGCTGGGGTGGTGCACTCCTGATGGGCGATAACTAGATGGGGAAACCCAACAAGCTGATATGTAGGTCGGCGCAGGACCCAGAGGGAAAGAACACCGACACCTTTGGTGATAAAACATGTTGATGCCCCCGGAAAGACGAAATACGCAATCTATCGCAAAACCGCAGATTTGTGCCGTAGCATTACAATACTTTCTCTTTTCTACTTAAGTACGTAGAATGGCAAGAAAGTAAAAATTAGAACTATATAACCTCTTACAAAGTCGAATGTATTGGGCTGTGTGGTTTGATAACCATAACAGAGAGAAACTACACGGGATCGAATAGGAATGTAGAATGAAAGTTTGGGGTAGATTTACAGAACTAACAAGTAGCACGCAAAGCGAGAGAACGTTCTCCTCTCCATCCCGATCAGGTTTTTGCCCAGTTTCCTTGATACATTGAATAAATGCTAAGATGGCCCCTTTTTTTGCTTCTGGACGTAAATGTAGCTTCACTACGTTTTGTTGAACTCTCCTTTTGCTAGTACGAAGTAGGAGTAGAGGAAAGGGTGAGTTACTATTTTGTTAGCAGTGTAGGAAAATCAAACCTGCAGTTCTTTTACCGTTGCAAATACAGTTTCTATAACTCGGGAACAAAAATATCTAGATTTTCAAATGTTAATCTCGCGCTTTTTTAAATTTTATTTTCATTTATTTATTTTTATCATTTACTCATTCTTCAACTATTTATAGTTAAAATGATGGGAAGGGATTCTGGAACTCAAGAAAAGCGCGCAGATGATCTTCTGCCCCATATGCCACATACACTTTTTTGACTAAATAAATAAAATATAAATCTTAATTCTCATGGAGTGAAGCGAAAGCCTTCTGCAATTCTTGTCTGCTTCCCATTATCATTGCCAGTTCACTCCGCCGCTGGTTTACCATTGGTTTCTAGAATCGTAGACTAATTAGCAACGCGTTATACGATATAGGTGCGTAAATCATTTTATGACTCTTAATTTTGTTTATGTGCGTGTGAAGAAGCAAATCACAACATGACAAACACACCAAGAAAAGGGACTAGTTAATGAGATTTTTCAAAATCGAGAAGAAAATTGGGCTTTTAACTCTCGTCATACCCCATGAGGGCGAAGGACATCGAAATACGAAATGACGTCTTCTAAGGTAATACTTTTAGGGCCCTGTTGATAGGCATGTCCATGTTGGCGACGACTCTTCGGATTTCAGTTTTCAAGATAAATATAAAATAACGTCGGGTCTGTGCATTGCATAATATCTAAAACATTTTATGCCAA